CCTGTCCTTCCACCCGCAGCAACCCTGAAGCAGCTATCAAGCTGCTCCACCATCACCTCTCGTCCACCTTCAACTCTCTCATTCCTCTGAAATCCAGGACCATCTCCAAACCCACTCTCTCCTCCTGGTACAACAGCCATCTCCGCTCCCTAAAATCCCAAACCTAGCTGCTTGAGCGCAAGTGGCAGAAATCCAGCCTCACAGTTCCCCACCAGCTGTATCTCGAGCATCTTCACACCTACCGGCGCTCCCAGTCGCAAGCAAAAAGTGCGCACTACTCAAACATCATATTGGAGGCCAAGAATATCTCCAACATCCTATTCTCCATTGCCCACCAGCTCCTCCATGCACGCCCTCAAGCACCCTCAATCATCACATCTAACGCAAAGAGGTCATGGACTTCCTTACCTCTAAAATTGATAACATCCGCCTGGCAGCTTCATCCGTCTGCCCTGTGTTACCTACCACCACCCCTATTCTGTCTCCCTCACCCCGCCCTCAGCTCCTACCATGGCCTCCATTCTATATTCATTTGCCCCCATCTCTCCTTCCTCCCTCTCATCCACCATCACCACAATGAAACCCCCTGCTGCCTCGACCCCTTCCCCACCCAATTGCTGATCACTCAGTTCCCCCTCCTCTGCCCACTGCTGGCAGACATTATTAACAACAACAACAACAACAACAAGATTCCATTTATAAAGCGCCTTTCACGTCAGGAGGACGTCCCAAGGCGCTGCACAGTTGGGTCATGACCCGAGCAGGGGGGAAATGGTCAGGGTGAGGAAAGGGAGGGAGCAAGGAGGGGGGAAATGGTCAGGGTGAGGGGAGGGAGGGGAGGGAGCGAGGAGGGGGAAGAGAGTCGAGAGGGGAGCTGAAGGCACGGTCAAAGAGAAAGGTTTTGAGACCGGCCTTGAAGGAGGAAAGGGAGGAGGCGGCGAAGGCACTGGGGGATGGAGTTCCAGAGCCTGGGGGCTGAGAGGCTGAAGGCCCGACCACCGATGGTAGGGCGGTTGGGGCGGGGGACGTGGAGCAGACCGGAGCCAGAGGAACGGAGGGTACGGGCAGGTAGGTAGGGGGATAGTAGGTTGGAGAGGTAGGAGGGAGCAAGGCCATGAATGGCCTTGTAGGTGAGGATGAGGATCTTGAAATCAATCCTCTGGGGGATGGGGAGCCAGTGGAGGCGAGCGAGGTGGGAGTGATGTGGTCCGAAGCCTGGTGCGGGACAGTACACGAGCTGCAGAGTTCTGAATGACCTGCAGCTTGTGGAGGGAGGTGCTGGGAAGGCCGGCGAGGAGAGAGTTCCCATAGTCCAGCTTTGAGGTGACAAAGGCGTGGACCAGAGTTTCAGCGGCGTGAGGGGTGAGGTAGTGCCGTAGTCTGGCGATGTTCCGAAGGTGATGGAAGGCGGTGCCAGTTGTAGTGCGGATGTGAGGGAGAAAGGACAGCTCAGGGTCGAACAGAACCCCGAGGTTCCTGATTGGCTTTGAGAGGTGGAGAGTGCAGCCTTGGATGCTGATGGTGTCAGCGCCTGAGGTGCGGAGGCGCTGACGTGAGCCAATCAGGAGGGCCTCGGCGTCTCTCTCCTCAGGATGAGTCCCACTCCCCCTCAAAACCGCGGTCATCATGCCGCTCCTTATACCTACCCTCGATTCCTCCAACTTTCAGCACTACCGCCCTATCTCAAACCTGCCCTTCCTTGCCAAAGCTCTGGAATGCATTGTCGCCAACCAACTTCGCGCACACCTCTCCCTCCACAGCCTACTCAACCCCCTCCAGTCTGGTTTCTGCCCTGCCCACAATACAGAGACAGCGCTCGTGAAAGTTACAAACTATTTCCTCTCTATCTGTGACCAGGGCTCTCTCTGCCTCGTCCTCCTAGACCTCACCACCGCGTTCAACACAGTTGATCACGCCATCCTCCTCCACCTCCTGTCCTCCATCATCTACCTCAGTGGGACTGCACTCGCTTGGTTTGAGTCCTACCTTACAAACCGCCAGCACTATATTTCTGCAAATGGCTTTTCTTCTCTCTTCCATCCAGTCACCTGCAGTAAGCCAAGGAATCCATCCTTGGCCCCCTTCTCTTCCTCATCTATATGCTCCCTCTCGGTGATGTCATCTGCAGACACGGGGTTAAGTTCCACATGTATGCGGAGGACACTCAACTCTACTTTTCCACCTGCAGCTGCGACCCCCAGTCCCCTGATGTTCTGTCAGCTTGTCTGTCGGACATCAAGAGCTCGATGGGCGTAAATTTCCTGCAGTTTAACGTCAACAAGACGGAAACTATACTCTTTGGCTCCTGCCGACATCTTCTGCCCCAGAATTCCGACCTCCTCAACCTACCCAACCTGTGCTTAAAACTCTCTGAACCAGTGCTCAATTTAGGCGTTAGGTTCAATCCCCAGTTATCCTTCCTCCCCCACATCTGGTTGCCTGACCAGCATCACTTTCTTCCACCTCCGCCACATTGCCCGTCTCCAACAATACCTCATCCCAAAAGCTGCCGAAAGCCTTGTCCATGCCTTTGTCACCTCTCGGCTGGACTACTCTAATGCTCTCCTTGCCAGTCTCCCCTCCTCCAACATTCAGCTCATTCAAAATTCTGCCGTCCGCATTCTCACCCGCACCAAACCTCGCATCCCGATTACTCCAGTCCTTGCCAAACTCCACTGGCTCCTGATCAGAGCGGATCAACTTCCAGATAGATCATCACTCTAGTGTTTAAATCACTCCATTCCTTGGCACCCTCCTATCTCTCTAACCTTCTCTCTCCCCACAGCAGTACCCGCTGCTTCCACTCTACTCGGTCCGGCCTCCTCCGTGTCTCCCGAACCCTCTGTTCCACCATCGGTGGCCGGGCTTTCAGCCGCTACACCTTGAAACTTTGGAACTCCCTCCCTCAACCCCTTCGCCTCGCCTCCTCCTTTCCCATCTTCAGGTCGCGCCCCAAGACCTTCCTCTTTGATCGTGCCTATGGTCACCTTCCCCCTCCCCCTGGCTCGACCTCGGGCTCCACCATTGCTAAGTGCTCTGAGACGCCACCAACCACAGAGGACGCTATATAAATGCAAGTTGTTGTTGTTGAGAGGTAGGATCTGAACCATTCAAGGACAGAACCATGAGGGTTGAGGTGAGAGGAGAGATGGTGGAGGAAGATAAAGTGGTCAAAAGTATCGACTACGTGGACTGCAGACAAATGAAACCTCTCCTGGCCGACCTCTAATGGCCATCAATACTGAGTTCATATTCAGAGCCAAAGTTAAAGTCTGTAGCAGGAGTAGTAATGGTGTTAGTTTCATCAGTCCTGTGTTGAATATCTTGATGTTTTAGTTAAATGCTCAGAACCAGCACCAGCAGACTCTATAAAGTCTGCAGAAACAACATTGAGAAACATGTTTGTTGTATCCTTACCCAAGGTTACTGTATAACAGTAGAATTTTAATAACCTACTTGGGAAGACTAAAACTAAATGTATTCCACGTATTGTTTTTGGAAGGTGATAAGGGAATGGAGGAGCCCACATCAAGGAATTGTTACCTTATTTAAAAACAATGCGAGTGTGAGCTTGAATGCCAAACTTGACCAGCCAAAGGCAAGAAACATTTGCAATGACCCAATAGGCTCTCAAACTGCCTCACTGGGAGGCCCCATAAGATGTTATATAAAAACAAAATATACATGCAGAGCAGCAAGCAGGTATTCAAAGGCATGTGTCCCTACTTCGACAATGTGCACAATACCAATGATTGATTTTTTTGAGCTGCAGGTGTAAAACATATGCATAGATAGTAAATTTGTTCTCAATGGAGGCAAGATCACCTGGAAAGGCAATATCACCTGGAAAGGTAGAATCCAGCTTTTTCAGCTTCTCCCAGTGAGGCAGTTTTTCAGCTGGAAGTCAAGGCGATAAGCACATCAAAGGAACTTTATACAGTAAACATATATTAACGAGTGCAATGGAGCTCTACAGCAATGCCAGTTAGATAACAGCTCCTGCTGTTTTTGATGCAATCTTATTTTTAAAAACATGGAATCTTTATTTAGTACTACTGTGTGCAATGCAACTCAAGCCTTGCAAAAATACCTTCAGCTGTGGGTCTCTCTTCATACCAGAGCTGAAGGATGACTCAGTGTTACATTAACAAGGAAACTTCCTAAACCAATAAGAGAAACTCGGTGTCAATACTGCATCGCAGCAGCACTGTCTCACCTGTTTCGCCAAGGCAGTTGAAGTATGTAAAAAAAATTATGGTTACACTATTAAAAACACCTCGTCTCCACAACCATTTTGATACTATTCTATCAACTGAACTATCAAATTAAAGCAATGCATTGAACAAATATTTTATTTCCCCTGAGGTATATTTCTTCATCTACCTCCACCTCATTGAATGTTTCAATGATTTTTAAATCGATTTCAGATAAGTATGAGGAGAGCTGTATGAAAATCAAACATTTCTAATCTGTTTTGAAGGTGAAAGGGATGTTTTCTTCATTACTTCATTTGCCTACAAATGCAATAATAATCCTTGCATTTGATATAGCGCCTTATCACGTCTTCGAGACATCTCAAAGCGCTCCACAGAATTTACTGTAAAGTGAATTGACTATTATATATTGTGGGTGAAATGCGGCAGCCAATTGCACCAACAGTGTCCCACAAACAGTCCTGGATTGAGTTACCAATTTATTATTTATTTTTAAGGTATTACCCCCAGAAAAGTGATCCGCCAATCGACTAACAACCGGGTTCCTACTTACTGTTAGGTAAACAGAGGCGTGTGGAGTAAGGAAACTTACCCAATGTTTCACCCTGCTAGCAATCAAACCCAGGTCTCTCGCTTGTGACGTGAGTGCTCCATTTTACAATAAACCCTGCAAAGTATTTTGGGACATACTCCTGATGTGAAAAGTGCTACACCAAATGTACAGATTATTATTAATCTGAGAAAAGAACAGCACTTGAAACAAAACAGAGAGACCTTACAAACAAACAAGCTCAAAACACACATTTTCTTTTAATTAACAGACAAAAAGATGCAGCAAAATTCTTTTAAAACGTACATAATCCAATACATTCCATTTTAAGCAAGTGGCAAGGTGTCTCTACTGACACTTATTGCAAATGTTTACATCAAGTCCTCTACAATTTTAAAGCGAAAACATGAATGGGAAAAGGTGTGGGAGAAGAATGGAAAGCAAAACCTAGTTTTATATGCTGAGATTACTTAAATTAAAGCAAAAGCAAACACACAACTGGGTTTGGGGTTCGGAAAGGGGAGGAGGAAAATTGATGGTAGCAAGATGTTTTGTAATACAAGATATCCCCCTTGCTCCTCTACTGCCTTAGTACGCAAAATAAACTTATTTAACAGATGGGATTCTTCTATTTGGTGGCCTGCAAAATCCATCTATTAAAACTACAAAGAATATCACATTTAAAAAAAAGTAGAAAAGGGTTTGAGGATTTAGTCTCCATGTTACATCCACGACAGACTGCAAAAGTAGGAAACCCTTACCGGCTTCTCTGTATTGTCAGCTTTGGGTGAACTAGTCTACATTATGAAAAATAATAGCAAACAAGAAAAGCATGATTTTTCTCCACAGAAGAAATATTTAAATATTTCTAGTCTGTTGTGCGTGTAAAATGGAGAATAAAACTTCCAATACATTAGTGAAAAATTAGCTCACAATATTCCCTCAAAACTTAGGCAATCCATGAATCTTCACAAAAGTGTAAAGAAGAAATTCATAAAAAAATAACTTCGGAATAACTAATGAATTTTTAATTTTACAATTTATTGAAACAAAGTATCAGGAGAAAATCAACCTATGCTTAAGACACGATTTAAAATTGTTTTTTTTGGGGGGGAAGAAGAGTTTTGATCTCAGCATATGCAGACCTGCAAAAACAATGTGACTGTAGTTTCAATTTTGTACAGAGATGCAGAGTTTACAAAGTGTGGTTTGGTCGCTTTGGAGGTGGTGGCGGCATTAGCTCAGAGTCTGTATCCAGGGATCTTTTCCTCTTCTCTCCTTGGGATTGCATTTGATTCTTTTCAATGAACTCAAACAGAAATTCCTTTGTGACTGGGTGTGAGATACTGCTGCAGACAGCTGGGGGAAGATAAAAGAATCAGACTGAGATAGAAATGGCTTAACTGTCTAAAGCAAAATACATTGCTTCACACCCAAATACATCAACAGGCCAGAATGTCTCTAATTCCAGGCTACATTGAGGATTTAAGACTTTATATGTCCTGTCTTTTCACAATTTATACTGAAAACTTCAAAAACTCTTGTTGGTTTCATAATCCCCAAAACACAACGAAAGAAAATCAGAAGTTCCTCTTTACTAAAAGTTATTTTTATTTTTTTTTAAAAAGCCAGTGATCACATCCTGTAGACACAACCTTTATCTTGTGTTTTGCCTATGATTATGGCATCATAATCCACTCTTGACATGTGAATTATATGGGCGGATTGAATGGGGCTGTGCTCCAGCTGCAGCTCTGTGGGTGTAATTTAGTTGTAGCCCATGGGTGACAACCTAATGGCAGCAAGAACAGATGGTGGGGCACAGTGCCCAGGATCTGATCGATGTATGGTTGTAAACCTGGGCTGGAAATTGGGAGAAATGTGTTTTATTTGTTCCTGTAAATACCATATATTTTCTAATGGAACAGGGAGATTCAAGAAAATGTATGCACTTATATAATAAAATGGTGTATATGAAAACATGCCAAACCATACCTAACTTTTAGATATCTAAGTTTTTGTTCTCCCTACATAGACCATTGTGATATTTCTGTGAGAGTCATACAATCCTCATGCTAATAAGATCTTTGCTCATGTGGATCACAATGCTTCCAATCCTTGCTAGGCTTCTCAATGCAAGGATCAACCATGCTTTCACAAGCCTTAAGCCAATCTCATCTACTGCAAATAACATCTTCACCCTTTCTATACATCGTATTGATGTCATGTTCATATTGCAGCATTGTTATCAACATCTTGGCTCTCTGTTACTGGGCTGCAGTGTAAACAAAGTGGCACTCTTCCCTTCCAAGGAGATTACCACTATAGTCTCGGAAGCAGAGCTCCAAATACATTCAATAGATGAATTAGAGAATTTCATATTTTTACACTGCAATCTTGTAAGAAGCATCAGTTACTGTATTTAAATGTATCTTGAACAGTTAATTCATGCACTACATAGCTTGTCTATACCAATGGCTCACAAACAGTGCTGCTAAATAACTAAGATCTTCAAGCAGGTACTATGCGCATTACATTAACTCTCTCCCTCATGTTAAATGTTTACATTTTTAAAGCTTTTCCATTAAAAATAAATCAGTAACCATTGAACTATAATTTTTTTTAGGTGAGATAGTTATCGATCATTTCTCTCATGGCTCGGCTTTGTCTTGGTAACATTCCATTGGCTTATTGCAACCACAGCTTTTCTGCTCTACAAACTGTGTAAGTACAAACATACAGTTGCATCACTGAGGGAATAAGCAGGGTGGGGTTGGCAGGCAGCCAGACACGAGTAGAAGTATAATTTAGAATCCTAGGAGAGTCATTACGAGTAAGAATTTAAGAGTAATTAGCTTTCAGAACGTTAAATTCATATTTCATTGTTTATAATCATATTTGTAGTTGGAATTGGGAGCTCAACAAGAACAACAAGTTGCAGTTATATACCGCCTTTCACTTGGGAGGACGTTCCAAGGCGCTGGACAGTCAAGAGCTCGCACCCGTGCTGTGGGCTGGAATCAAGAAGGGTGGTGGTGGGAAGATGACCGAAGGCACAGTCGAAGAGGAAGGTCTTGAGACGGGTGTTGAAGGAGGCAAGGAGGACAAGGCGGAGGGACTCCTGAATGGTTCCAGAGGGTGGGTGCTGAAAGGCGGAAGGCCGACCTCCAATGGTGGAGTGGGCAAGGTGGGGGACATGGAGCAGCCAGTACCCACCGAGCGGAGGGAGTGAACAGGTTGGTAAGCTGTAGGAGGTCACAGAGGGAATGAAGAGCAAGACCATGGAAGGCTTCAATAGTGAGGACGAGGATTTTAAACTCAATCCTCTGGAGTTCTGTAGCTCAGTGGTTAGAGCACTCGCTTTGCAAGCGAGAGACCTGAGTTCAATTCCAGGCAGGGCGAAACCTTGGGCAAGTTTCCTTACTCCACACGCCTAATAATAATCCCTCCAAAACCAAAAACAATAATAAATTGGTCATTTTCAATCTACGACTGTTTGTGGGACATTGTTGTGCGCAATTGGCTGCCGCGTTCGCCCACAGATATACAGTCAAGTCACTTTACAGTGTGTTCTGTGAAGCGCTTTGGGACGTCCTCCCGACGCGAAAAGCGCTTTATCAAATGCAAGGATTATTATTATTATTATTATTATTATTATTAAATGGGGAGTCATTGAAGGTGAGCAAGGATGGAGGTGATCACCCTCATGGAGCTTACTGCAGGAGAGGACCCGAGCTGCAGAGGTCTGAATAATCAGTTGTTTCTAGAGGGAAGAGTTGGGAAGACCAATGGCCAGGAAGTTGGGATAATCAAGCCTGGATGTTACAAAAGTGTGGATGAGGATCTCAGAAGCGTGCGGGGAAAGGCAGTAGCAGAGGCTGGCAATGTTGTGGAGGTGGGGGTTTAAAAGAGACTAGACACGATATTAAGTTTCCATACTGGCTTGGTGAGATGGAATGTGCATCCAGAATAGTGACGATGTCTGTGCCTGAGGCGAGGAGGCGCTGATGGGAGCCGAGCAGGAGGGCCTTAGTCTTATCGACACTCAACTGAAGGAAATTAGCTCTCACCCAGGACTTGATGTCTGACAGGCATTCTGTTAGGACAGCAATGGTCCGGATCGAAAGTGGAGGCAGAGAGAGGGAGTTGAATGTCATCTATATAGATCTCCTCTCATCCCTGTCCCTCTGCACTGGACATCTGCTCATAATGGGTGATTTCAACCTCCAGCTAAACTCCCCTTGCGCCACCTCCTCAGATTTCACTGCCCTCCTCCCCTCCCTAAACCTCACCCTCCACATCAACTCACTGATCCGCAACTGTGGCCACTCCCTCGACCTCGTCATCACACACAGTCTTGACATTTCCGACCTGTCTCACGGACAAGGCCATCTCGGACCACTTCCTCATCTCCCTCTCCTCCCACATCCCCCTCCCCTCTTCCAAGCCCTCCACCATTTTTTTTCACCCCTGGAAAAAGCTTCCTCCTGAGTCTCTCACAAATGCCCTCTCTTCCTCGGACCTCCCCTCCCTCTGGCCCTCCACCTGCAGCGATCCTGTTGCAGCCATCAAGCTGCTGAATGACATCTCTCCACAAACTTCAATTCCCTGGTTCCCCTGAAATTCAGGATTGTTTCCAAACCCATCCACTCCCCTGGTACAACAGTCATCTCCACTCACTCAAAACACAAACTCGGATTTTCAAGCACACATGGCAGAAATCCGGCCTCACGATTCATCGCCAGCTGTGGCTCGAGCACCTCCTCACCTACCACCTCTCCCTTTCACAGGCCACAACTGACTTTTACTTCAAAGTCATCCTGGAGGCCCAAAACAACCCATAGGCAGTTTTCCACCATCCATCACCTCCTCTATGCACGCTCTCTATCCTCACATCAAGTGCGAAAAGGTCCTAGACTTCTTCGCCTCAAAGATTAAAAACATCCGCTTGGCTGCATTGTCCTCCTCCCACCTTATGTCCCCTTCCAACCTACACAGACCATCCACACCACCTTCTCCCTCCGCCATGGCTCCTGCCACTCCATCCTCCTTACACTCCTTTGCACACATTTCTCCCTCCTCCCTCTCAACCACAATTTACCTGGATGAAGTTCACCACCTGATGCCCTGACCCCTTCCCCACCCAGCTGCTGATAACTCAATTCCCCCTCCTCTCCCCCCCTGTTGGCCGACACGGTCAACCAGCCTCTCTCCTCAGGCTCTATTTTACTCCCATTGAAAAACGTTGTTATCACATCCTTCTCAAAAANCCCACCCTCGATCCCTCTAATCTCCCACACTACCATCCTATTTCCAACCTACCCCTCCTTGCCAAAGTCCTGCAACGCATTGTTGCAGGTCAACTTCGGTCACACCTCCCCCTCCACTCCCTCCTCGGGCCCCTGCAGTCTGGTTTTTGCCCTGCCCACAGCACAGAGACAGCGCTTGTCAAAGTCACAAACGATGTCCTCTCTATCTGTTACGAGGTCTCCCTCTGCCTCCTCATCCTCCTGGATCTCTCTACCGTGTTCCACACAGTCAACCACGCCATTCTCCTCCATTGCCTCTCTTCCCTCATCCACCTTAGTGGGCCGCACTCGCAAGGTTCGGCTCCTACTTAACCAACCGCCTCCATTTCATCTCGGCAAATGGTTTCTCCTCCCGCCCCCGCCCGGTCACCTACAGGGTACCCCAGGGCTCCATCCTGGGCCCGCTATTTTTCCTCATATATATTCTCCCTCTTGGCAATGTCATGGGGTAAACTTCCACATGTATGCGGATGACACACAAATCTACTCCAGCATCGACTCTAGGTACGCCGATGTTCTATCAGCTTGTCTGGCAGACATCAGGGTGTGGATGAGTGTTAACTTCCTGCAGCTGAATATGGACAAGACAGAAGCCATACTCCTTGGCTCCTCTCAACGTCTTCACTCCTGCGGATCTGAACTTCTCAACCTCCCTGGGCTCTCCCTCAGACTGACCGAACCAGTGCACAATCTAGGCATCCGGTTTGAACCCCAGCTGTCCTTTCTCCCCCACATCGAGTCCCTGACCAGGACCACCTTCTTCCACCTCCACCACATTGCCCGCCTCTATCCGTACTTTACCCCAAATACAACCGAAACCCTTGTGCATGTATTTATCACCTCCCGCCTGGATTAATCAAACACACTGCTCGCTGGTCTCCCCAGCTCCACTATTCAAAAGATCCAGCTCATTCAGAACTCTGCCACCCGCATACTGACCCGGACCAAACTCCGAACCCACATTTCACCAGTTCTGTCCAAGCACCACTGGCTCCCCATCACCAAATGGATTGACTTCAAGATCCTCACACTTGTGTTCAAGATCCTTCACTCCCTGGCAGCTCCCGATCTCCTCACTCCCCAATCCACCAACCGGCACCTCCGCTCGACTGGTACACTCCACCCCATCAATGGAGGTCACACATTCAGCCACTACGTCCCGAAACTCTGCAACACTCTACCTCAATCCCTCTGCCTTGCCCCCTCTCTCCCCTTTTTCAAGTCCTGCCTGAAAACCTTCCTTTCCGACCATCCTTATGGTCACCTTCCCCCCACCGCCCCCACATCCCAGCTCAGAGTCAGGCTCCGCCACTGTTAAGCGCACTGAGACGCTACCCTTGCGTGGAGAGTGCTCTACAAGTGCCAAGTTGTTGTTGTTGTTATAGGAAGCCAGTGGAACCTGGCGAGGGCTGAACCACAATGGTGTTTTTTGATCTCTTATAATCTTATAATCCTTTACTCCAAAATATTTAATTTAGAACAGCATCTTGAGAAATTACAGCACTCAAGAAAATTTTAGGAACATGTAAAAGCATTAACGTCAAGAGCCTTTGGACAAATAAGTTACAAGCCAGCATTATCATTATAATCCTTTTCCTCCTACTTCATTTAATTTTGGCTTTTGTTGGAATATTTTATTTATTCAAACATTGAAAAATACTGACGAAAAGCAGAATCACAATGATTATCCCGGAGGATTTCAGCTCATACAGTTAGATTCAGAAACACCTACGATTTTACCATCAATTCTTGATATTTAAATGTTCTGTTCTGTTATTTTTTCAGTTTAATTTTTAAAAAGGAGCACTGACAATAATCCTTGCATTTTATATGGCACCTTATTACATTATCAAAATATTTCAAAAAGCTTCACAGAAGAGTTTAGTGACTATATTCCTGTAGGAGAGAGCCTGAAAAAATGATGTGTTCTTTACTCGTCCTCTTTGATTCCATACATAATGTTTTCAAAGAAGCCTCAGCTCTGAAAAACTGTGAATCGATAATTCATCCTGGTTCCTCTCCTTGTGTGGTCCATATAGATCATGCAATACAAATAATGAGATATGACTCATATCTGATGAATTGACTGACCCAGTTATTCACTAGTAATAAACTCATTGGTCAAACACGCTCATATTTCCCAATTCTAGGCTAATAAATGATATATTAAAATGAAACCGTATGAATGCTCATTATTGTGGATGTGAGTTTATAATGTGAAGTCAATACATTATTTTCCATGTTTAACACAATAGTTTGTAGGGATGCAAAGTGACAATAATTCTAATTCATTGAGACAGCTGTACAAACTTGTACGTGGATGTTAATACACCTTAGACATTTTTGGCTATCGATGGGAAGGAGGCATCAGTTTGTTGTATTGAGTGCCTAAGTTACTTATGGGTTGGTTGGGGATTGAAATTGTATGAATTTACATTTATTCAACATATGATTTTGGCAATCGGATACTGTCAATCTCTTCCTCCTCCCTCTCATTAGTCCAATTTCCCCACGTTCATGTTGAGTGCTGGAAATGAGTCGAGGGATTTTCCCAGATCTAGGTTCAGTTTGTGTATTTCTCATTTAAACTTCCGTGCTCTGTAAATAATTTATCCACCTTTGTGGGGAGAGAATAATTCAAACCATTTATATTGGGTGAATTATAGTGTTGACTTGTGTCCTGGGGTGTCTGTACCTTCAGATAAGAGATCAAACAAACATGATTAGTGCTTAAAAAGTGATTATGAGGGTGTGAGCTCGGGGACTATTAACCAAAGTGACTGAAAGAATGTGCAAGAGAAGAACATATTTAAGAGATAGTCCCTATGGTCACAGCCCTGTTATTACACTTGACTGAACAAAGTGGTAGAATTTGTGTAGCTAGTGTGGCAGTACATCATGCTCGGTGCAGCATTTTAAACTCTCCCTTTTGCATTCTGTTTGCACACTGAAGTTGAGTGATTGCTTCTATTACTTCCCACATTTTACAGTTGGTATAATAGCCTAAATCTTGCCACATCACTAGTTCAGGTTTTCTACGAGGGCCAGATACAGATGACAATATAGTACAAAAGGTCAGAGCCATTGCTCTAAAGAGTACGATGTCTGCATGCTCAACTCCTGAAGGAAGTAGAAGTTGTGAAATACACAGTATAGGGCAGGGTGGAATTTGCTGACAGGTATTTTTGAGAGTCGTGAGTTGAGTTGTAGAACAGTTAACCAAGTTCTAAATTGCTTTTTTTGACCAAGTTTTAAAGGTGTTTGTGTCTGGGAATTCACTGATGCAGTAACTGGAGAGAGAAATTACAAGCTCTCTTTCTAGGCTGTGAGCATTAGACCTTTTTGAATATTCAGGTATTTTCATAGAAAAGAATCCAGAAATTAGAAAAATACACAACATACATGAATTACATCACGGAAATCTGATTGTATACAACAAAATCCCACCATATCACCATATCCTCTATGTCTTACAATCTCCTCAAACCTTACCAACCCGGTGGCTCCCTCTGCTCATCAGGCACCAGCTTGCTTGATGCCCCCTACCCTCCCTTGGCGGTCAGGCTTTCAGTGAATATGCCACCACCCACTTTAACTCGCCCCTTCCCTCTCCTCCTTCAAGGTCCATTTGAAGACCTTCCTCTTTATAACAACAACTTGCACTGATATAGCGTCCTCCACGCAGGGTATCGTCTCAGAATGCTTAACAGTGGCTTTAATGACCTCTTTGATCGCGTCTTCAGCTATCTTCCCCCCTCACCCCACTCTCAGCTTGCTTGCAGCTTGGGGTGACGCCCTTCTGCTATATAAATGTAATTTTTTAATTGTATTGTAGGTAATAAGTCTCACAAACTACTTACCCATAGCTGTGTCATATGAATTTGGGAAGCTCTTATCTATTCTTTGTCGCATAAAAACCCAGGAGTTGTTCTCAAATTTGCATTCAATGATCTTGTTATCATAAAGTTTCAGTTCTTTGGTCACCTAAAACAGAAATAGAGAAAACTGTCGATCATTAAAATTGAGACATGTTATAATAATTTTGTTGCATACCTTAAGTAACAAACGAGATCTTTGATAATCATTGCTCCTTCAGAAATCGTAAAACATTTCTCACAATGTGATAGATACTGTGGGATCTTATTTCTTTGCATTGAACACATCAATTTAGACAATAAACTGCCACTGTATATTTACGCAGCATACTATTTCAGACCCTACAATATAATACATGGGGGATGGGGGGTGGGGAGAAGGGGGTTGAAAGACAGGGTATGGAGTCCTATGGCTTGGGAAGCAAGGGCTTTGAAGGTGAGGACCAGGATCTTGAACTGTATCCTCTGAGTGATGGGAAGCCAATGAAGTCGGGCGAGGATGAGGGTGATAAAAACCCAGGAGCTGAGCCTGGTGCAGGAGAGGAACGGGCTGCAGAGTTCTGAATGATCTGCAGCCTATTGAGGGAGGAGTTGGTTCCATCCACACTGAACTGGCCTCCCACCCCAACTCTTTTCTATAATACAAACCAAGTTTCAACATTATTGACGTTGGTCAAATTGGTCAAATGAATCTTTACCTTTCAAAAGGGTGGGGAAGACAAGTTTGCAGGGCTATGGGGAGAGCGCGGGGGAGTGGGATTGATTTGAATAGCTCTTTTCAAAGAGCCAGCACAGACACAATGGGTCGAATGGCCTCCTTCTGTATTGCATAATTCTATGATTCTATGAAAAAGGTTATGTAGCAATGAAAGATGATACAAGGGCTACTTGTTGAAAACAATTTGGCGGCATTTGGTGCAAGTTTTAAAGCTGGGTATTGGAATTGTTTGGAGTTCATGGTAGAGTGCATCAAGATTAATGAGAACTGGCTGTAATGGGCATTATTGAAGATGCCATATTGGTCAACAATGGTGAAAATTTTGCAATTCAAACTTTTTGCATTTGCAATGCATTTGACAAATTTGGTAAGAAATGAAGGAAGGGAGTAGGGTCTACCACCAATGTGTTATTGATACAATACAAAGCACTAAAGATGTGGCAATTAGAAACTATTTTCTGATGTGGTTGACTACAAGGGGATCAAGGCTGCTGATAAGAAAAAACACAGGGCACTGCCCAAGACCAGCCTTATCTGGAGCACAGTGCAGAAATATTACTTGATCCCACTGGATTTGAATATCTTCAAGGAACAGTGTCACAGCTAGTTTTGTTTTATAGATGATAGGAACATCAGTATCAGTATTTTATCCTGTGAAGCGCTTTAAGGTGTCCTCCTCGACATGAAAGGTGCTTTACCAAATGTTACCAATGATTATCAACAGTATGTTAGAAGATGACCGAATAAAGACTAAACACATACCACCAAAGCTGCTAGCCCTAGACTAATGTTTTGATATACAAAATCAGGGAATGGTATATCGTAAGGAGAACATTAGTGCAGGGATTCTACTATAATAAGAATGAAAAGGTTCAAAAATTTTCTAAATGTTCGAATGTTTGCTTACATTATTACAGTGAATGTTACCCTTCAGGGGAACCAAACAAATATGGTAGTCAGGGCATAACTACCGAGTGTCTGACACATGCAGAAATCCATCAACATGCTTAAAAATAACCAAACCAAGCTGAGAATTCCATGCAACCCACCCAAACATGGAAATTCCTGATATCTTTATTGGAATGGAATGCGCACACTCTCCCTGGAGGGATGCGTCCTGCTTACCTAATTCCAGAAAATATTAGGCTCAGGTTGACAGATCCAAAACTTGGGTACCCCAGAGTGTGTGCTGGGGTACTGCTGGAGTCTAAGCAGCTAAAAATGCACAATTTACCATTGAGAGCACTGTCTGGCAAGCTATCTCATTGCTTGTTCAGGTAAGACCACCCTAGGGTCTTGCCTTACAGGGTTAACGGGACTGGGAGGATCTTTTGCCTCCAGTGGTCTGGAGTGGTCTGCCCTTCTAAGTCCTACCGATGAGCTGGGCTGTCATAAGCAGTGCCCTGGAGTACTACGCATCTGTCTGGCTCAGGAGCAGGACCACCGAGACCACTACAGAGGATTGGCTTGAACCTGACGTTCTGTTGCCAAACGTGTCACCTTGGGTCCAAGGAGAGCCCGCTTACCTTACCTCTCCCTCCCCCCAGGAGGATCGTTACTTGTTGGTCATTTGCCAGCCAACAAATGCAAGTTTGACCCTCACTGGGTGGATGGCAGGTACCAGGAACTCCCTGTAAGCTTCCTGGAGGGCAACACAACTCATCTCAAACTCCACCACAAACTCTTCCCAGCAGCTGTACCCTGAGCCTCAGTTTCCTCATCATCTATCTGACTTCTGTTGCCTTCAGTGTGGTGAGAAGATCTTTACAAGGCAGCTTGCAAACGTGCCATCCAAGGGGCAAGTCCAAAGCCGGATCCCATTCTTACTCAGCACCAGCTACTTAATCTAGTTCCTCATGTGAGGGACTTTGCAAATAGACTGATTCTGCCTCCAAGGTGCTAAGCAACAGGGAGTGTAGACTGGAGCCCTCCCTTCCTGAAGCCGCTTCCCATGTTTGACACACATCCACCTCACTGCTTGATCCTGAGCTTTGCAAAAGCCCCTCAAATGCATCCCCAGAAGCTTAGATCCATAAAGCAGAACTAAATGATCAAGGGGAGGAAATGCTATTTTAAATAGATTTTGTAAGCAAACCTAAGTAAAATTGTTTTTAAAGTGGAGCGATTTATCCAATTCAACAATTTTTTCGAAGCTGACTAAATGATGAACTGCTTGGCTCGTAGCCATTTCGTGCAGAAACTGATGTGAATTTGAGCGTGCGCACATTTCAATTATCAACAGGGCGGAAATAAATACAATAAAGAATTGATCATTTTCAACAGACAACTGTTTGTGGGACACAGCTGTGCGCAATTGGCTGCCGCGTTTCGCCCACAAATATATGGTCAATTCACTTTACAGTATATTCTGTGAAGCACTTTGAGACGTCTAGAAGACATGAAAAGCACTATATCAAATGCAAGGATTATTATTATTATTATTAATTTACCTCCCAGCTTGGCGTCAAGCTCTGGCACCATTCACGCTCCAAAATACTACCCTTTATAACTTTACTTTATAATGTAGCTTTATAACTAAACTATAATTTTGGAATTGCTGTAATTGGGAACTAAGTGTACCAAAATGTTCCTCATTAGCTCGGCCTGTTTATACATTGAAGAGCTGAGCTACCCAGAAAAGTAAACTTCCAAGTTTGATTCTCACAATTGTGCTGAGTAGTTGATCATTGATGGGTGACTGTATGGGGCTACAATTGGCACTAGTGCCTTAAATTATGAGGAGGGAAATAAAATAGCTGAGATTTTTACTCCTGATTGCAACCAATCTTGTGCAGAATTGGATTTGGATGCAGTGTCCCAGTTGAATATCCTGCTGACATACAGTCATAGTTTATAAACGACCACTTGGATGAGGTATGGAGGGTGACAGTCCTTAGAGCTACGCCCAGATAAAAGGAGAGAAGGAAAAACTGGAGCAGAATATTGGCAAGAGTGAAAGGAAAATACTTGACCTGAACCTACTTTTTGGGTATTCAGATCGGCCTGTGTGTGTTTCAAGTACTGAACCACCAATAGATCTGTGTGTCTGAAATATCATGTTGTTTAGCTTTAGTAATTGAACTATGAATAAATTATAGAATCAATAATATCCTGCTACTCATAAACAAAAACAGGAAGTTTATGTTGTGTACAGGAGACCCATATAATACTTATTTAACACACTATCTCTGGGGCTACGCCTCTAAAGACATTTTTATGTGACAAGGATATAGTGAATGTGAGTTAAAAATTTGATTTGTGTAGAAGCCTAGCTAATTCCAATTTCTGCTGTCTGTATGTAACACCTTGCAAAAGAGGGGTGCATAAGAATAGGTCTCTAAATGGAAATATGCAATTATGACTGTGTCCTTGTGGCTCTGTCAGAAAATGGGCACACAAGTCTATAAATTGTATAAAACAGCCTGATTGTTTAGAGCTATTTAATGTGCCACACTGACAAAATGCCACAGGGTACATGTCTGGGTGGGATTTTAATTTTTTTATTAAATACAAACATGAATAGGGCAGTCAGATTACATGACACATGTGTTTGCTGTGCCACAGATCTATTTTTCATTCTTAGCTTTGAATAATGTTCCAGCTGAGCTGATCTCAACGGGATTGTCAAGTGAAGGGCTGGGTGGATTTCAAAACTGACATGGCATCTAGGGAAGCTGCCTGACAGGAGGGAAGGGAGGGGAAGTGAATTCATTAAAACAAGACAAAGCATTATACACTCAGAGACTAAGAATGACCGAGTGAGAGGAGGAGGGGTGTTGCAACCCTCAAATTTTCAGTAATGTCTATCAAAAGAGAATGTGGAAATGCCCTTTAGTCATTGGTCACCCTTTAGCCACATGTCAAAGAAATGACCCCCTAAAGGTAAGTTAAGCAAAAACTGACGTAAGAGCTAATAGAAAGGATACTGGTGGTTACTGCAAAGAAACGGAGAGTGAAGCACTAACTGCAGAATTCATCAGTGGTCAGACTACGTGAGTAGCTGCAGATATAATTTGTTTCCCCTCAAAGCACAAGACTCACCTTCCATTAACAAAAACAAATTAAATATGTTGCCAATTTTTCTGACATGTGTGACACAACTCAAAAATTCTAAAATATTCTAAAAACATTCAACAATATGTTGAAGAGTCATTTTGGCTTGGCTCAATTGTCTTGATTTTTCACTGACTTTTAAGGAAGATGTGGTTCAAGCCCAATATCAGGACTATGATGCCTATGATAACAATAATAATAGTCTTTGCATTTGATATAGCGCTTTTTACATCTTCTAGACATCTCAAAGCGCTTCACAGAATAGACTGTAAAGTGAATTGACTATATTTGTGGGCGAAATGCGGCAGCCAATTGTGCACAGCAGTGTCCCACAAACAGTCGTGGATTGAAATGAACAATTTATTATTGTTTTTTTCTTGAGGGATTATTATCAGGCGTGTGGAGTAAGGAAACTTGCCCAAGGTTTCACCCTGCCGGGAATTGAACCCAGGTCTCTTGCTTGCAAAGCGAGTGCTCTAACCAATGAGCTACAGGACTCCACAATCCAATACAGTCCTGGGGGAGCACTGCATTGCTGGAGATGCAGTCTTTTGAATGAGACAGTAAACAGTAAATGCTCTGACTGGCACATCAAAGATCCTGCGACACTATTCAAAAACAGGATATTTCTCCATCAGCAAGGTCGAGATTAATTAGTTGTTCAGTTATCTCTTGCTGTTTGTGGGGCCTTATTGGCACAAAAGGAGATTTCAATGTGAAGAGTAACTTGAAAAGTTTTTTCATTAGAAATGAAGTCCTCTATCTCTCTTTCTTTCTCTGTGACCAGAGTTCCCTTTGCTTCCTTGTCCTCCTGGACCTCTCCGCTACGACACAATCAAATATACCATCCTCCTCGACTGCCTCTCCTCTGTCACCCACCTCAGTGGGACCGCACTTGCTTGGTTTGAGTCATACGTGACCCACCACCATCATTTCATCTCCACAAATGGTTTCTTCTCCCAGCCCCCCACACCTGGAGTGTACTCAAAGGCTCTATCCTTGCCTCCCTCCTTTTCCTCATTTACATCTTCAGATCACACCTGAAGAGTTTCCTCTTCAACCCTGCCTACGGAGACCTCCCATCTTTCTGGCTCGACATCAAGTTCCGCTACTGTTAAGCGTTCCAAGACACTATTCTGTGTGAAGGCGTTATATAAATGGATATATAAATAATAATAATAATAATAATCCTTGCATTTGATATAGCGCTTTTCACGTCGGGAGGACGTCCCAAAGCGCTTCACAGAACACACTGTAAAGTGAATTGACTGTATATTTGTGGGCGAACGCGGCAGCCAATTGCGCACAGCAATGTCCCACAAACAGTCGTAGATTGAAAATGACCAATTTAATTATTGTTTTTTGTTTTTGGAGGGATTATTATTAGGCGTGTGGAGTAAGGAAACTTGCCCAAGGTTTCGCCCTCTGCCTGGAATTGAACTCAGGTCTCTCACTTGCAAAGCGAGTGCTCTAACCACTGAGCTACAGGACTCCACATTGAAAGATACTATTGCACAAACAGTGGTACCTGATAGAATTCTTTAAAATTATGAAGGGTTATGATGTTAAATCATTAGCGTATTTCAATGGGTATGCAAATCAGTAACAAAATGGTAAATTTTTAAGATCACAAAGGAATTAATGCAGAAGTTAGAAAAAAATACCTTTACACGGAGAGGATGGTTAAAATGTGAAGTTCCCCACCACAAAAACCTGTGGAAGGGTCCATAAATTCATGTAAACAGAATCAGATAAGTGCTTGAAAAAGAAATGTTAAAAGGTTTGAACAAAATATGTGGCATCATTTTATATTCCGGTTATTTTTGTGCAATTGAACTTAAAAAGTGAGTATTTCTTTAATTTAGCATTTTTTTTNGTGTATAAATGATCCAATTTCCTTCAACAGTAAAATTAAATTGACACTGAATGTGTATAAAAATAATGTCAGTGTCAGAAGTAATTCTGTTCAAGACTGCGGGGTAATTTATTTTCAGAATTATCTCCTCATTACCTGTTTTTCAGCAACCATTCTGCCTTACACATTTCAATACAAGCATAAAAAATTTATGTTATCTGCTTCACATGTGTGCATGTAAATAATTTAATTCTATGACCTTCACAATGTGTAGTAGAAAAATGCCTGTGTCCTATTCTGGATTCAAGTAAGAAACCCAGTGATTTGTTAAGCTAGGTTTAGTGAACCTGGAACACCAGCTTGAAAGCACAAAGTCTAATTATGGAAAAATAATGTCATATTGACATTATAGATTACTGGTATACTACCTTATAACTTTACCTTATAATTTTTAATTCAGATTTTTTCAGTAGGATCAGCTCAGTGAAAGCCAATTTCTGCAAATCTAGTGAGATTGGAATAGTGAGTGGATGGATTGTCAAAACAATAGCTGTGATTGCTGGAACCGAGACAGCACCGAGAACTTCAACAGAAGCTTTGTCTATGCTGTTAACATATGAAGAGCAAAAAGCAAACATTAGCAGTCCAAGGGAGTGAAGTGTCTTGTTATTAAGTCTCTGATGAGACATTTCATTTTGATTTTTACTGTTATATTATAATTATATTATAACATGTCTAAGTTGAAACTCACTAGCTAGTGCAGTATACTCTGTGTAAAGAATGAATAAAATCCTGGCAGAAAGGATGAAAAGTCTCCTCCATCTCAACAACTTGCATTTATATCCCGCACACATCACGTGGGGTAGCGTCCCGGAGCGCTTTGATTATATCTTCATCCCAGATATATCTCATCTGTTAAGGGTTTCAACTGAAATGTCTTTTGAGAGAGCAGAGTGTCAGCCCAGGTGAAGTCTGTTTGGAAATTTAAAGCTAGTGTTATGTGGAGTTTTTGATATGGGAGGGCGGGGTGGTGTAGCTCTATGGTGTAGTCCAGTTACATTTTCACCAGAAAATGGTCTTGTAATCTGTTTTCTCAGTCTTCTCACTAGCTCTGTGGTGCAGTATGCTATTTCTTCGACATTAAAATCTACCTTGATATACATAAAAACATTTTTGCTACCTACAGTTTTTCGTTTATTTTCTTTACTACGACAACAAAATTACATTTGTACAGCGCCTTTCACATCGGATGGACGTCAAGGCGCATCAGTGGTAAATTCAAGTAACGTTCAATCTCCAGGTGTGTTGGTGATAAATGTAAGAACATTTTGGAGGAGGGATCACCATGAAGCAATAGGGATAAAAGAAGCAGTGGTGCACAACAGGATTCAATGGAAGTCACATTCACTAAAAGGGAATCCTTCCCCCAAAAAGCTACAGTAAATCACAGCCAAAAGATTCCTACTCTGAAGAGCTGAAAATACATTATGGAGATTCATCAAGTTGGCCCTGACGTATTTCTAGTTAGTTTGACATCCTGCTAATTACCAGCAGGATTTTCCCATTCGTGACTGAGTCACTGTTAGCACAATCTGTTACAAACCACTGCTTCATTAACCGCAATACATCATTTTCATTTGCAGCAAGATTATATCAAACCAAACCACTGTGACGACCCATGTCCCCGTGTGGCATGAACTAAAACACACATTGACATTTTTCAGGGATTTTTAACTGCTAGTAATGGAGTGTGAACTATTTGAATTAACTATGATCAAATTGTTCAGTTTACCGGATTAGAATAGAAAGAGTTATTTTAACATGTTGCCTCCAGATTCAAGAAAGATAAATATCTGTGCTATGAATTTAACTCCTGTTGACGTGCAACTGTCATGGAATGTACAATTAACAATCTATATCGAGTAGAAAGTGCTGTTACAAATTCTACTTTCCCAAATTCTACATTTAAATGTAGTTTTTTTTAAAAAATGGTTTCTCAAACAATTCCAATCTTAGGCTACTTAAAGCAAACATTGCAACATCAGACAGCTTTCAACACTTGTTTCTGCTGCAGCATTTTGAAGTCCAGTACAAAGATACATCACAGTAATTCTTCACACCGAATAAATGAACAGTCTTTGAACAATTACCTCACAAAAGGTTTTTGCTACATAACACAACAGTTTAATTGTAGCTGAAATTTATCAACAGCATATTAACCGTAATTGCATTTCTCAACTAGTCACATAGTGCCAACATGTCTAGAATCTGGGTTATGAATTCAAGGTCACAAATCCTTTTTGTAAAATTACTTTCTGAAAGTCCCTTTCAATTGTATCCGGAACAAAAATCCATCCATTACTAATATGAAATGCCACTCAGCTTTCGATAATACTTATCTATTTAAACTTCATGAACAAAGGTAACACAAGCTTGAGATTTCATTAAACACAAATTACACAAGTTAAAACACTTTAGCACTGTTTTAATAGCTTACCTTCATCTGTGCAAAAGGCTGTTCGTATTTGCCAACGTACAATAGTCCAAATGTCTGTGGCAGTAACCTGTAAAAAAAGAAATTATTTCAACCAAAAGGATATAGAAATCAAAACATAATTATAATAATTGCATTTGATGAAATACCTTATGTTGTCAAACATTATCAAAGTGTTTGCTTCACAGCATTTTACAGGAAAATGTAGTGAATGAGTACAATATTGCCCACAAAATATACAGTCAACTCACTTTAGTAGGAATAGGCCATTCAGACCCTCAAATCTGTTCCGCAATTCTACAAGATTATGACTGATTTATACCTCAACTCCAATTTCCCACTCTGCCCCATATCCCTTGATACCCTGATCTAACCAAAATTTATCCACTTCAGTTTTGAATATTTGAATGGATCCAGCATCCACAGCCTTTTGGGGAGAGACTTCCAGATTTCCACTACCCTTTGTGTGAATACCTGCCTCCTGATTTCATTCCTGAATGGCCTAGTTCTAATTTTAAGATCATGCCCCCTTGTTCTGGATTCCCCACCCGAGGAAATAGTTTCTCTGTAGAATTAAATTATTATTATTTTGTAGGGATTATTTGTAGGATTATTATTATTATTTGTAGGCAAATACATCAGCCAAATTGCTCACTGGAATGTTCCACAAACAGCATTGAGATAAACCCCAAATTCCACCTCATTTTAGTTTGCAAAAACATTCTGTCTTAAAATTTAGGATCATTCAGAATTATGCAGAATTCTTAAACCCAATCTTAAGTTTAGAAGCCAATTTGGTTCAAGAAATGCAGACAAAATCAATACTAAGTTTAAGAATTTTCCACAGTGCTGCGTGATGCTATAAATTTTAAAAAAGTCTTATAGCCGGACTGGTAAAATTTCACGCATCATGTGCACAAAACAGATATGAGAATCAATGAAGCGCTCTGGGACGGTACCCTGTGTGAAGGGCACTATATAAAGGCAAGTTGTTGTTGAAATGAACTAAAGCATACTACTTAATACGGGTATATTTATTATACATACAATATATTAAAAAAAGCTATTGCTTAGTTGACTGTATGATCACTTAATGCTGTACAATGTCTGCAATTAAACATCTAAATCAGTTTTTTGAACATATAATTCATTCCAGATACCATTTTCATTATCATACTAGACATGTCAATTAAAAGCTGAGTCTGAACAGTCTAAACAGCTTTCTTAGGTAACCCCCAAACCTTCTCCTTTCCATGCAGCATATGGCATACGCAGAAACTACAGCTAATATTGCATCTGCTATTCTAACTATTCTAAGCTAGATTTATGCGCTATGAGTTTTATATACTGTATAATAGCGCTTGGGGAAATAGTTTAAAAAATCCTGTTAAGTTGAAGCACACTGATCATTAGGAATAATTTAATTCACTTTGACATAAGAATGTTTAGTATTCAAAGTTGATAGAATTTATATGTATTTTGAAATCATCAATAAGCGATGCTCAATGAGTAGCAGTAGGCAGGGCAGTTTATCATATAAATGAGGAAGACTTCAAATTGTAGAAGCAACGTGCATTTTCAATTATTTTACACAATTACATTCTTGTGACAAAGATCAAACTAAATTAAATGATAATTATGTAACTGTCATCAGCAAATAGTTCAAACTGAAATATCAATAATAATTTGATTAGGAGCTTATCAAATGAACCTATCTGCTATTAACCCAAACATAATTACTTGTCTAAAAGTACATTCCTTTCTGTAGCATCAATTGTGACCGACAGTGATAACAATTTGGCAAACCCCACTTTTCAAATTCCTGTCGGGTCAGGAAACAGTGATACTGTTCAGATCAGTACCTAAAACTGAGATTAAAATGTGCTTTTTGACAGGTGTCTAATTCATTTTCCTTCATTCTAAAAATATAACTACTTGAGTGGATATGGTTTCCTTTACACGAGGCTCTGCTAATAATAGGATTATTCCATTCATCAAAATAAGAAACTAAAAGGACCATTTTTAACATTGAGAGTTAATAAAGGGCTACCAAGGTCAAAGATATATTTAAAAACTATTCTACAATAAACAATATAATGTACTGTGCATGGGAAAGAGAATGGAATTAGGACCACAGTAAATAGGACCACAGTAAATAGCAGTAATAGCACAGTAAATAAATGGAGAAACTTGAATCAACATAAGCTTGATGACCTGATGACTTCCTTCTCTCCTGTCATTTCTCACAGCTGGGACCAGGAGCAGCTTTGAATACAGAGAATCAAAGATGAAAAGTTACTCTCTGTCACTTTTTGGTGACACATTCTACAAGGACTTGATTCATCATCAAGTTTTCTGTCATCTATTCCAAATATCTTAAATCTTCCTAGCTTGCAGTATTTCAGCTTGTGCATTATTTATTTCTAGCTTTGCATCTTTAATCTCTCTCTTGTAATTAAAATCATTTCAGCTTATTTGGCTACAGACTGGAGCACTTCAGCTTTCTAAATAGTGACTTGGGAATAGCTCAAGACTATGAAGCAACATATACAGTATGCACCTCATATCATTATCTAAGTAGTGTGGATACCTTAGTTTAACACAACTGACAAAAAAACTTTACAAATTATAATAAAATAATCTGCCAACAAAAATACAGTCATTACACTTCACAGTAAATCGGGTAAATGGAACCAAAAGGATTGCTCTTAAAAGAGCCAGCATAGACATGATGAGCCTTCTTTTCTATTGTGAATTTCTATCATTCTAAATCGTGTGAAACCCTTTGAAATGTCTTTGTTTTATCTTATTATCTTCTATGGATTACTGAAGAATTAAGTATGAAATGATTTTCCTGTGGACTTTTGTTCCTGTATGAATCTTGCTTGGTTACACACTACTTTCTCTCAAGACTTGTCTAAGTTAAAAACCATTAAAAACTGCCATCATCACGCCCACCCTGAAAAAACCCTCCCTTGATGCGTCGCAGCTATCAAGCTACCGGCCCATCTCCAACCTCCCCTTTCTCTCCAAGGTCTTGGAAAGAGTTGTCGCCTCCCAACTGCGCTCTTTCCTTTCCACCCATTCTCTTTTTGAACCCCTTCAGTCAGGTTTCCGTGCTGCCCATAGCACAGAAACTGCCCTGGTCAAGGTCACCAATGATATCCTGACCATCTGTGACCAGGGCTCCCTCTGTCTCCTCGTCCTCCTCGACCTATCGGCAGCATTCGATACGGTCGACCACGCTATCCTACTCCACCGCTTGTCCTCCCACCTCAACCTTCAAGGCACTGTCCTTGAATGGTTTAGGTCGTACCTTTCTCACCGTCTTCACTTTGTCTCAACGAATGGCTTCTCCTCCACCCCCCGTACTGTCTCGTGTGGTGTCCCTCAGGGCTCTGTCCTCGGTCCCCTCCTCTTCACCCTCTATATGCTCCCCCTCGGTGACATCATCCGCAGACATGGAGTTAACTTCCACATGTATGCGGATGACACCCAACTCTACCTTTCCTCCTCTACTCTCAACTCCACGACCACCGATGTCCTGACAGCCTGCCTGTCCGACATCGAGTCCTGGACGAGAGACAACTTTCTTCAGCTCAACGTGCGAAAAACCGAGGCCCTCCTGATTGGCTCACGTCAGCGCCTCCGCACCTCAGGCGCTGACACCATCAGCATCCAAGGCTGCACTCTCCACCTCTCAAAGCCAGTCAGGAACCTCGGCGTTTTGTTCGACCCTGAGCTGTCCTTTCTCCCTCACATCCGCACCACAACTGGCACCGCCTTCCATCACCTCCGGAACATCGCCAGACTACGGCACTACCTCACCCCTCACGCTGCTGAAACCCTGGTCCACGCCTTTGTCACCTCAAGGCTGGACTATGGGAACTCTCTCCTCGCCGGCCTTCCCGCCACCTCCCTCCACAAGCTGCAGGTCATTCAGAACTCTGCAGCTCGTGTACTGTCCCGCACCAGGCTTCGGGACCACATCACTCCCACCCTCGCTCGCCTCCACTGGCTCCCCATCCCCCAGAGGATTGATTTCAAGATCCTCATCCTCACCTACAAGGCCATTCACGGCCTTGCTCCCTCCTACCTCTCCAACCTACTATCCCCCTACCTACCTGCCCGTACCCTCCGTTCCTCTGGCTCTGGTCTGCTCCACGTCCCCCGCCCCAACCGCCCTACCATCGGTGGTCGGGCCTTCAGCCTCTCAGCCCCCAGGCTCTGGAACTCCATCCCCCAGTGCCTTCGCCTTGCTTCCTCCCTTTCCTCCTTCAAGACCGGTCTCAAAACCTTTCTCTTTGACCGTGCCTTCAGCTCCCCTCTCGACTCTCTTCCCCCTCCTCGCTCCCTCCCTTCCCTCCCCTCACCCTGACCATTTCCCCCCTCCTTGCTCCCTCCCTTCCCTCACCCTGACCATTTCCCCCCTGCTCGGGTCATGACCCAACTGTGCAGCGCCTTGGGACGTCCTCCTGACGTGAAAGGCGCTTTATAAATGGAATCTTGTTGTTGTTGTTGTTGTAAGTTGCTCTAGGGTTAATTAGGCATTGCCTATTCATTCTCTCATTCCTTTGGGGAACTGGAATTCAACAACCATTTGATTTCTTCAATAAATATCCCCAAACCTTCCATGTTGTAACTTATTTTCCCTTCAATAAGATGTACTTTGGTATGCAACATATATTGGAACTTGCCAAATGCTACCTCTTGAACCAGCTGACTGAAAGTATTCAAACGCACCGTTTAGTTTACCATTTCTCTCATAAAGGGAGCATTTTAACTTTTTCAGTATCATTAAAGACAGTACAAGATTAGGAATTCAATGTGCAAAGTGCGACAGGGACAAATCCTAATTACTTTGTGGATCAGTGCATTAAAATCCTTAATATTGTGCATTATTGGGACACTATTTTTGTAACAAACAGAAGAAGAATGAATGAGAAGAGAAATGATCAGGTCTTTAAAGTACTAAGCAGCTTAGATAATGTAAGCAGTTTATTTGACAAACTGTAATTATGAAATGAAGGGACAGGAGTATAAATCAAGTGACACCAGACTTTAGAAGAA